CCATTTCATCTTGCTATGCCTCTGTATATTTTTCGTAAATTCCATTTACCTGATATTATCAATAATGCCTATTTCTCATAATTTCACTGGATTAAAAGTGATTCATTATATTATCTAGTATGTGCCTGGCACTTATCTGCTATCACCATTGCTATAATTCTGGAAATACTGGAATTAAGAATTTAACAAATCTCGGCACCATTTATGTTAGGTTTTTAAAGAGATAGCCGGGTAAGAACAGTACCATGCACGTGGTATTCAGGTAAGGGGTAGGTTTATTCATTGTTCCAGCTGGCACCAGGCCATTTGGGTCCTCCACGTGATGGGGAAAGGCCTGGGAAAGAGAGAGAGCTGGGAAAGAGAGAGAAAAGACCTAGAAAAGAGAGAAAAGAGCTAGAAAAGAGAGTATCTGGGAAAGAACTGGGAAAAAGCAAGCTAGGAAAGAGAAGAGAGCTGGGAAAGAGAAGAGAAGGAAAGAGCTGAGAAAGAGCTAGAAAAGAGCAGAGAGAAGAATTTAACAAATCTCAAATGGCTTTCCTTTAATCTGAATGAGTTCACCTAGTCTCAGTTGCCAAACCTTAAGACATTGTTTAAAGTGGTAATGGCTTTGCTTCCCCAAGTGCCTTAACTTTTGAGAAATAACATGAAATAAAATGAAATCATCTTCTAAAATGGAGTCAAAGCACCTTCCTAAACTGAAGAACCACAGAGCCCTAAGGAGCTGATGAGTCAAACACCATGGTGATCATTTGCATATTGCTTTGCATGGCATTTGACACTACTGGTTCATTTTTGCTTAAAGTGAAATTCTGCCCACCATCTGGTTCTTTGCTAGTCCCCTTAGATCCCTAGGTGTGGAGTTGGCTGGAGTTGCTGGGAAGAAAAAAAAGCAAGTGGGGAGTCTCATGTAGTTACTGCACGTGTCTCAGTGGCAAGGGGAGCTCAGCTGAGAAGGAAGGAAAGTTTGTCCTCAGTGGGCCAGACCACAGCGAATCAGTCATCCAGGCTGCAGACCACCTCACAGAGGATGGTCACTGACTCATGGACTGCTAAGCCCCAAATAGCACCATTTCATTGCTAGATGATTGCTAAATTTTATATATATATGTATATATATATATAAAACATCTAAATTATATATATATATATATATGTATGTATATACGATATCACAGGAGATCGTATCTCCTGAGAGCAACCCCTCAGTTCACAAATGTAAGTTAGATGAATGTAGTTTATGACCACTGGCAGCTTCCCAATCAAACCAGGGTAAAGCTTCCCTTTTCCTGAGTGTGAATAATTATGGGTTAAGGAACAAACAACAAAAAGATTTATAGTAACTATCAAAAATGTTAAAATTTAGCTGGACGTGTGTGGCTCACATCTGTAATCCTAGCTACTCAGGATGCTGAGATCTGGATCGTGGTTCAAAGCCAACTAGGACAGAAAAGTCCATGAGATTCTTATCTCTAATAATTTACAAAACAAAAACAAAAACCAGAAATGGAGCTGTGGCTCAAGTTAGAGCACTAGCCTTGAGCACAAAATCTCAGGGATAACACCCAGGCCCCAAGTTCAAGCTCCAGGACTGGAACAAAAAAGGGTTAATATTTCCTTCGTTCGTTCGTTCCTTTTTTTTTTTTTCTTGTTGGTTGTGGGGCTTGAACTCTGGGCCAGGGTACTGCCCCTGAGCTTTTCAGCTCAAGGCTGGCACTCTACCACTTGAGCTACAGCACCACTTCCGGTTTTCTGGTGGTTCATTGGAGATAAAAGTCTTATGGACTTTCATTGTCCAGGCTGGCTTTGAACCTCAATCCTCAGATCTCAGCCTCCTAAGTAGCTAGGATTACAGGCTAAGGTTAAGATTTAAAGTAAAATAAGGCAGCTAATATCTAGTAATATAAAAAAAGAAAAATTAACACGTAATTAATCAGGGCACTGTTGCCAGAATCTTCTGTCAGCCTTATCATTTGGATTCCTGACTTCTTGTACGTAAATGATAATGAACCTACATTTATATAGATATTAACAGGTTAATTTAGTTGTTCTTTCTTGGGAATAACTGGATACTTTCTAAAATTCAAATACCAATAATATACTGTTAGTATATAGATTAGGCAATGATCCTATAAGATGTAGATACTGAATATCTTGTTTATAAAAGAGTTGAAAATAGTGACTAATGACTAATGAGCCTGTGAACAGCACATATAAATAACAATTCCTATTATTCTTAGGATTCTACATAAATTATTTGAATAGTAAACCCCACCAACTGGTTATAAAATTCACAATTCATGTCTGGATACTGAGTATTTATATCTAGATATTCAAATTACATTTGAATACTATGTATAAGGTTTTAGAAGCACATTTTTTTATCAAAGGATAATTTTCATTTTGTGCTTTACAACTATATCAAAAATACTGGTTAGGCTATTAAAATTACTAGAAATAAATCTAATACATCATACTTTAATGACTTCAGTTAAATTAAAATTTCAAAAATGGACCCTAAGAAATATCAGCCATAAAGATCAACCTCTATAGCACCATTTTATTTTCCAAAATGTCACTCCCATATAATAGTCTTTTTAATTTTATTTTTATTTAATTTTATTTTTTGGTGCTGGTTCTGGGGTTGGAACTCAGGACCTAGACACGGTTCTTAAGCTTTTTGGTTCAAGACTAGGGCTCTATCACTTGGGCTACAGCTCTACTTCTAGCACTTTGGTGGTCAATTAGAGATAGGAGACTCACAGACATTACTGTCCAGGCTTGCCTTGAACTGCAATCCTCCAAACTCAGCCTTCTGAATAGCTAGGATTATACGCTTGAGCCCCCAGTGCCCAGATCTACGATAATCTTTAGAATGATAGAACTTTTAGACGTTCTCTAGTCCAATACTATCATCTTTGGATGCAAGGAAAATTAAGGTCTGGTCTGGAAATTGGCACCCAAAGAAATCAAGTGGCAAGAGTCCACAAGGAGACCGACAAGCTTTCTGCACAGGGCACTGGAGCTTTTGGGATGAGAACTCTGGCTGGGCAGGTGGCTCTGTTAAGGAGCTTGATGGAGCTTTGTAGGAGTAAAAAAAAATTTTTTTTAAATGAGGAAAAGGAATGAGGAGGACTTGAGCCTTGATAAAGGATAATTTAACATAAAAATGCTGCAGGCACGGAAGTGGAGTTAAGTTCTGGGCTTGAGGTCATCTGGTGAGAGGTGCTTCCCCTGGGTGGCCTATGCTTAGGAAGGAAGCGCACAGTCACCTCCCCCATATAACTAGGTAAGCAAACTCACTCTAGGGCAGGGAACTAGTCAGAGGCCAGAGGTGAGCACGGCAGGTGAGTCATCATCAGTCAGAGTCATTAGCTGTTTGTCTGTCTCGAAACAAACTTGTGATCTAGAACTGAACAAGAGGCAAGGGTCTGGTCCAGCTGTGTATGTTTAAAAGCTCCAGATTCTTGTCTAGAAGCTAAGGCAGGTTGGGGAGGAAAGACAATGAAGCAGACATGCTGGTTACTTTCTATAGGCCCCATTTGGGAGAGCAGTCTTGGCTAACCTCCACGAAGGGTGAGAAGAAACAAGGCAGAGCATTTCCTCCATTCTTCCCATAGCCCCTGCCCAGTGGCTCCTCACTAGTGGCTCCCTTGTGCTAGCCTTGGTCCCTGCAGACCCAGAGACTAGCTCCTTCCTGGGGCCTCCACTCTTCTGGCAGTTTACATGTACTTCTTCATTCACTGCCAACACATCTGAGTTGAAGTCCATCTTATGCCAGACCCTGACTCAACACTGAGGAATATAATAAGCGCAGCATCTTAGATACATTTTCCTTTACTGAGCAACTTTTACACTGAGACCTGAGATACTTTGCATATAAAACTGAAATTTGACACACATTTAAAAAAATAATAAGTGGATCTTGGAGGAAAAAAATTAATCTTCAAACTCCCAAAGCTGCCTTTGCAGTGTACTGTGCTCTGTTCTCTAGAGCCCTCAGTAGGAAAGATTGGGAATGGACGCTTTACTAGGAGGGAAGACGAAACTTCTGCAGGCTATATCTCTTTGTAAATGGAAAGAAAGTTAGGGTAAATCTCTTGATTGCTTCAAGGGGGCCAGTCTTTCAGAGGAACCAATCAATTGAGCTGGTGCCAGGGAAGGGCACTGAGGAGGGAGGTTTACCAGTATTACAGCCCTCACTGGATGTGCCCTGTTTGACCTTGTACCCTATAGTTTGACCTTGTACCCTATAGTTTTGTTTCTCTCAGAATAGTTTGTGTTTAGGAAAAGGTCCCACCATACAGACAACCTTTTTACTACCAACGTACATAATACATATTAGAACACTTTTCCATAAAGTCTGTAATTTAAAAATTTCCCATACCATTAGTGATGAAGCATCATTTATTTAAAATAAAATTAAATTAATATCAGCTTATCTTATTCCCTAGCAATGTTGGATATAAGGTTTCATTGGGTTCTCTAGACCAAAGTTCCCTTTTAGTTGAACCCCAGAAGAGACTGCAGCCTCTAAGGATACTTTCATAAAAAGAGGAATTCCTGGGTCCCTGGGAGAGGACAGCGCAAAGTCACTGTGGGAAGTACAGAGAGCTAGGGAGTCCTGCCAGTCTCCCTGCAAACACTCATTTCATTGGAGCCCCTACCCTGCCCCACTACTCTCCCGTATTCTGCCTCTACTAAGCATTCGTGGAAAACAGACTCTGAAGCCAAAAAATACATTTGAGTATTACTGATTTAGAGACTAATTTCAAGTATACACATGAGCTGCTACTATGAACAAGTAAAAGACTGCCTTTATCTTTTAATACCAACTTGATTATTTTTAAATGCGTTTTTATTAGATATAGAAGGCCTATGTGTTTCAATATCTAACCCCAAGCAGAATGATTTTATTTACAGTGATATAATTTTTAAAGGCAAGATAAATATTATCCGAAGACATGAGGAATTAGTAACGACCAGACCACCAATTTGCTTACCTGCTGTCTCCAGCATTTGCCACATAGAGCTTCCCCAAAAGACACACCACAATGAGGGCGGTGCAGCCACCAGAGATATTATATGAATTCCTCTCTCGTTCTATTTGTAGATCCTGGAGAAGAAGAGAAAATAAGTGCTGAGTTGTGTAGGAACTTGTATTAACGGCTTTCTCACCTCTCAATATGAGTCTGGATATATTTCCATGAGGGACAAGGAAATCCTTGTACTTTCTTTCCTACCACCTAATGAGCATTTCCAGAGACAACCTGGTACAGAACTGCGAGGTGATAGACCATTTGTAAACAGACAGGAATAAAAGCATAGCAAACAGAACCAACAGACAAAATGCAGAAGAATGAAATGTCAAACATTTTCAATAATCATAGCTTATGGAATGTTTAGTCTGTATGGACTGTCGGAGCTGCCATGTAGAACACTATTAAATAGAGAAGCTAAAAGTGCCACGTATTGGAATATGATCAATGTTTTTAGCTCCAAAGTCTCTAATAAACAGTTCCTTTTTTGGCTAAATAGAAGAGATGATTTGAAGAACTGTCTGCTATTCAACAACACAGGTAGGAGTCAAACATGTATTTATCTCTGACCTGACTTTTCTGCTTCCTAAAGCTACTGGTTCACAATGATGACATACTCCTAAAGATAACCAACATCCATGTAGTCCTTTCCCTACACTGGACAGTGTGCTAAGCATTCTGAGTTCAGAATCTCATGATAGCCTCAGGATACCATTAATAATTTCATTGCGCAGTTACACAGAAATGGGTACGCTGCCCTAGCTAGAGCTTGGATTCCAAAGTGGTTCTTGCTCCTTTAAACTCTAACTATTAGGGTATCTTCAAGAAAATTACAAGCCAATCAATACTTTCATAGACAGTTATACAAATCAAGGCAGATGCCTTGGCAAAAACCCTGTGTTAGTGATGGAACCAAGGGTCCTGTGTCTTCAGGAAAATACCAGTAGAATGGAGAAAAACATTGACTGTCAAGCTAAAACTTATCTACTACTGTTGGGGCAGAGGAATAGAAAACGAGGGTTGCGTAAAATTTACAAGAGGAAAAATGGCACTGTGGCTGTTCTCAAGATGTTGCTTGTTGATTGAATTCCTGAGTATTTTTCTAAGTCTTAAAACCTCCCCGAGTTAGAACTGAGCCACTTCTGCCAGCCTCCTCATGTCACAAAGGGAGAGAATTCAGCTCTGCATTTTACTAGCAAGTGCTATGCTCCTAGGGCCAGAGATGGTGATATAAAGATAGACACATCACCAACTGAAAACTCTGAACAAAAGAATTTAAGATGAGGGACAGGCTGGGACAGCAGACTGGTTAAGGAGTAAGTAGATAAAATATACAGAAACAGCCCAGAAGAGAAACCACATGCTAGAATGAACTGAATAAGGGGACAGAGAACTGAGGAGAAAAAGCATAGAGCAAGGATGTGTGTGGGTTATGATAGTCTAAAGGTGAGGAAGAAAATATCCCAATAAAGGAAAGGAGGGCAGCATCAAAAGTTGCAGAGGGGCTGAGACATGAGGATGACGTTCACAGCACTACACTAAATACTGAACATTTATGAGAACTTGGTATGAACTGTCTTTCTTAGACAATGGTTGTGAGCATGGAAGTAGATAAACACGGAGCCAGGGCTTAGCAGACCAGATGAATACTTCTCATAGCCTGGAAGCATCCCAATTGAGAGCAATTCTAAACATCTACACTGGGTCAGGTAAATGGCAGTTTAATAAATGTCTGTTAAATAGACAAATGAAGAAATGACAAAATATTCAGATTTTGGAATTATCTCCCCAGCATCTAACCTGTGCTTTATCATGAGGAACAGATTCTGTAATTCACAAATGAAAAACTGACCAGGCAAGCTCACAGAGATATTAAGCATCAGCCCTTACTTCAGTTAAGCGCAATCAATGGCAAAAATGAATTGTAATCAGACACTACGCAAGGAAGGCCAAAGGCTGAGGGTAAAGGCTAGGAAGAGCAAGAATTCTCTCAAGAAAATAAAAGAGAAGAAAGAAAATATCTAGGTATCAGAATTTTTTTGCTTCACTTCCAAAATATGTAAACGGGACTAATAAATCTTTTGTAGGTACATTTATCATTTTTTTCATTTAAATGACTCCTAAAAAGTTGACAATACATGTACATTTCATAAATATTCAATACAGAGGCTGGGAAGGTGGCTCAGTGGTAGAGCGCTTGCCTTGCATGCATGAGGCCCTAGGTTCGATTCCTTAGCACCACATAAGCAAAAAGAAAAAAGCTGGAAGTGGCGCTGTGGCTTAAGTGGTAGAGCACTAGCCTTGAGCTGAAGAGTTAAGGAACAGTGCCCAGGCCCAGACCCCAGGACTGACCAAAAAAAAAAAAAAAAAAGTTCCTTGAGTATCCAATTGCTTCTATGTTGTATATAGACTAGAACGTGAATGTTTGACAGACTTAAGCAAATGATAGGCACAAACCAATGGGGGATTGGCACAATCCAATGGGGTTAATTTCCACAGTACATAGTCTAAAAAGAGTTGACATGGAAGAGTTTCTTAGGCATTCAGATAGGCAAGTTTATTCTGCATCACAGGTGGGCACGAGGAGGGTGTTCTTATCAGGGCTACTAACACAAGAATGTCTGATTTTAAAATTATTTAATCCTTAGGGGAGAGGGAAAAAAGGCATAGTATTCAACACCAAGATTTTGCTAAGGCATTTCATATTTCCTTTGGAAGTTAGGGGAACATTCCAGTCAGTTTATTGTTAATCCCTTATTATATTACATTACTGGTGTGCCTTAATACAATGTTTTGCTTTTTTTAAATACTTGATTTCATTCTTTTCTTTCCTCTTTTTCTACACTTCAACTACATTCCCTTTGTAGCTTTCTTCAAATAAGGAAGGAATGCTAAATTTGGCAGCACTTTCTCAGAGTGGACTAAAGTCTTAACTACATTTTTATTCAAGAAACTGCTTATCTGTGCATGCTCGCAGAGGCCCATTTCCACATCTGTGTGGAAATATGCACATGAAAATTCACACACGTTCATTACACGTGTGCTCTGAGATCGCGGTGACAAGGATTTGAAAGATGTGTTTCTGCAGACTCTACGTCCCTAAAGAATTCACTGGCATTAAAACATACTCTTCCACTTCTTCTAAAACTGTGTGTAACTAGAACAGATTCTAAAAATAATTGCTTCCCTTCCCTCCTCCTTAAAAGCCAAAATAGCACATTTAGTTTTTTCTACATACACCACCTACTCCTCTTTAAAAGATGTTTAGAAAAAAATCTCAGTACTGAAAGGAACATTAAAGGACCATCTGGGTGGTTCTTTTACTATCAGATTAAACGTGATAAATGAAGTCAATAAAGACACACTTACCATTGAATTAACTGCCTTTTCCCTTCAAACCCTCAATCTCTCAAATGAGCTTAAGCTTTTTACACTCTATGTAAAAATAAAAGTATGTGACTATTTTTTAAAGCCTTTAAATTTAGAGCAATTTTTTTTTTCTGAAATCAGTGAGTACAACTATAAGAAAAAACTGTCTACTGCTTTGGGCTAAGCAATAGCTTGTGGAATATTTCCATTTTAACTGTCAATGAATTCCAACACAAAGTCTAGAATAATTTACTAGTGAAGCATATCAAGATACTATTAACCTTTTCAAGTATGGTCTAAAGATCATTAAATGACTCATAAGATTCCTTTCACAAGATAATTGATCTATCTATTCAATCAAGTGCTCTAAAGATGTTGAAAGGTAACTTTCTACTTGCTAGGACTAAGGAATTCTGTTTGGCAGGACTAAGGTATTATGCATTAAGGTATTGTGTGCTGTAACTGTTTAGGTATGAAATTTAAGCTAGGTTTACCTCTATGTCACAAAACAGACTTGGGATTTTATTTTCCTCCTTTTTATTTCAAGGAATGGGAACAGAAAAGAGATGTATGTGATTGAAAAGAGACTGATTCAAGACTGATTCAACAGGAAAGAATTATATTTTACCCACAATGGTTGTAATTTGGTTTGAAAGTCTCACTAATGATGCAATTTCAGGATCAGGTTTTGTTTCCTACCAATTTCAGACTGAAAAAAAAAAAAAAGCAGTATGTGTCAGCAAGAGTGTTGGTTAGTTTCAGTAGGTCCTGGCAGCATCCCCTAGTTGGTTCAACCATGGTTCTGAGAACACTGCTAATAGTGTCAGTCACAAATAATAAGATTCTGCATGGTTTTAGTATCCAGGTCTCATCCTGGTCTATTCTGAGAACAAGGCCATCAGCCAGCCAGGCTAGGAGGGTGGAAGGTTGTTGGGGTGGGAGAGTATTGACAAACACTGCCACCTGCTGGCTACTACGGAAATACAGCTTCATCCTTTCTGAAGGAACTTTGGTTCTAACAGAAACAAAGACAAATCAAAACTCACACTTAAAGATAGATGTCTGTCCTCCAGATGTGGTGGTTCATGCTTATAATCCTATCACTCAGGAGAATGAACTAGGGGGACTTCAAATTACAGGCCAGCCTGGGATAGGGAGACCTTGTCTCAAAAAAAAGTACAAGTTCTTGACTTATTGATATGCTAATTTTTAGTACATGCTAAGATTTATAAACTAGAATAAGCTTTGCCTTTGCTGTGCCCCTTTCCTGACCCCTTGGTCACATTTCTACTATTTTTTCTCTTTCTTTTCTTTCTTTTTTCCTTTCTTTCTTCCTCTCTCCTCTCCTTTTTCTTTTTCTTTCCTTCCTTCCTCTCCCTCCCTTCCTTCTTTCCTTCCTTCCTTCCTCCTCCCTCCCTCCCATCCCTTTCTTCCTTTCCTTCATTCCTTCCTTCATTCCTTCGTTCCTTCCTTTCTTTCATCAGCAGAACCAAGCTGCCTGGTACTTACTGGAAGATGTATGGTAGTTTCACAAATAACTAAACCTCTAATACATTCTTCATTACGACAGGGAATATGACAGGATCCTTGTGGCTATGTCCAGAACACAAAGCCTGTATATATGTTATAGACTAAAAGGCCAATTGCTGCTGATTTGGATCGGATTCCTAACAGGACAAAGGCAACTACCCCAGCAATGGAATTGGCTACCTCTATGAGTCAGAAATCTTTCTATCCAACCATTCTTTTTGGAGGGTGGAGAAATAGTGAGTTTGAAACTGAGACTTAGAAGACATTTTTCATCTATTTATCAATCATCCGGGGCCAAGACACCAACCTAAATGGAACAAGCAACAAAGCTTAGCTGCTTAAACCAAGCATGTTACAAAGCATTACTGGGAAGTAAATTTACAAAGCATATTGGGAAGTAAATTTAAAGTTAAAAAAAAATGAAGAAGTGTAAGAGATCGTCTAATGAAATCTGGGAGACAAGATTTAGAACAACATATCTAGATCTATAGTCCAGCTCTGCCATTGTCTACCTGTGATTCTAAACAAGTTATTTAACTTCCCATATTGTTGCTTTTGCTTTCGGATCAGATTTACCTTTGGCAGTGCCTGACAAAGTATGAGTTAATAAGTCATAGATATTATTATCAACACATGCCAACCATTGGCTCTAGGATGCTTAAGATCATAAGAGTGGCCCATACATGAACTTGCTCTTTCAAAATAATTTGAGCAATGCTCTTTCAAAATAATATTGTTTATTGAAATTGTGTTCCTTTAGAGCCATGATTTTAGAGCCATGATCCTTTTCCATGCTGGATACAGGAGGAATTGGGTACATAGTCTTCTCACTAGGAAAGAAGATCCAAGATGACACTCAACAATGGCACATACTTACTGTGTGCCCTTGACAGCACACACACAGTAAGTATTAAAGGCCACTGGTCAGAGGTCACCTTTCCCACAAGCCCCACACTGTGCCAGGCAACCCAAGTGTCAAAGATGAAAGCAATGTTTCCAAAGGAACTGCAGCATTTGATAAAACTGCTACCACCTCCCCTTGTTCAAAGCATGCTTTTCTCTTTGTCCATTAAATCTTTACTTTCTGAATAGTATCTACTGAAATATCAACTGCTTATTCTGTCTTGATAGATTATTTTTTTGGATTGGCAACTGTTTTCCAAAAATATTTGAAAAATGACCTGCCTGTGGTTGAAAAACAACAACAACAACAACAAAACCCTAAGGTTCCTTGTTAAGTACTTTTCTCAATGAGGTTTTCATTTGGAGTACAAACTGCCCACCTTGTTATAGACTAAAAGGCTAATTGCTGCTGATTTGGATTTGATTCCTAACAGGACAAAGGCAACTACCCCAGCAATGGAATTCGCTACCTCTATAAGTCAGAAATCTTTCTATTCAACCATTCTTTTTGGAGGATGGAGAAATAGTGAGTTTGAAACTGAGAGAAGAGGCAGGAGCAGCCCAAGATCCTTGCCGAGGCCTTACTCAATGTGATAATGGCCTCTAGTGGGTGAAATTGAGAATGCAGCAGTGGTTTCAAGTTCAAGATGGCCTATAGCCCCAGAGATTGCTGAAGGAGATGAAAATCAGTTTCCTTCAGTTTTTCACTCCTATCATGTAAACTGAGGGCTGTTCTCATTACCAGGTGAGGGCCCACTGTCAGATTCTTGCTGCAGTTATATACTTAGCATCCTGAGCATTATCAGTGTGTAGAAATACTTATTGACATCAGAGCTTTTACAAGAGCCACAGATATTATGCTGCGCCTCAGCAGTAGTCAATTTTTCTATCTTGATTTCCTTTTTCCTTAAATTATCTTTTCAAGCCTTCTGGTATTTTTGTTGGGACTGCAGAGGTACAGTATACCAGGTGTGTGTGTGTGTGTGTGTGTGTGTGTGTGTGTGTGTAAGAGAGAGAGAGACAGAGACAGAGAGAGAGATTTTAAACAGATTTCTAATAAAATGGGCATATTATGTGTGTGACAAGCAAGAAAAACTGAGAAGAAAGAAGGGAGGAGTTTGAAAACAGATGCAAATCTGCAATATGAATATTTGAACAAATTTTTCCTTACAAACAAATCAGATGTCAGATGACGATGTTCCTGTGTTCACTGTCTTTTCTCCTCTCATCCAACCGGGGCCTGAAGTGGTGTGGTGAGATTTGACATGTGTGCAGTGAATGTTCCATTCTGGGAAGATGCTTCTAGTTTTTTTGCCTCACAGAACAGCTTGTCATTGCTTTTGAATTTTCAGGTTTTAAGGACACCACCACCCACTTGCCTTACTCCAAGAGTCCTTATAAACAACTTTAAATATCTCTTACTCTTGATCTGCATGCAGGTTGCTGCTCAGGAAAGAACATCTCTGGAATCAAAATAATTGCCTCAGTACCAAGTGAACTCAGACATGAGGGTGAGGGGGCGGTGGGGAGGGTGCAGAACAAAGTGGAGGGGGTCTTCTGGGGGCCTTTCTGCCTGGCAGAGGTCAGTGTGGAAGCGCTGAACATTCTGCCTGAGCTCATTCTCAGAAGCCAGGCCCATTCAGACCTCAAAGTTAAACAAATCCCTGTGCCCAGGCTTCTAGGATACTGGCCTGTGGGTTCCACTCTTTGTCTGGCTAAGCTTACACTTGCATCTGGGTGAGTCATGTATTGGAATGTGGTCTGATAGCCGACTGCAGGCCAGATCTATATAGACTGTGTCTAGGTGCTTCTGAGCACTTTACTAAACACCTGGACTCCATCTGCACGTGTAAAGCAGATGGCTGCCACTCTCACAGTTCAATGAAGTAGGTGGGCGCCGGCGCCCAGAAGGAAGCAATGAGCCCCGCGGGGCGGGGACCTCACGCCCTGGGCCGCAGTCCACCGGGCAGGACCTCACGCCCTGGGCCTGCCCTCTCTTTCATCTTCTGGCACTCAGGCCACAACCTTATTTTCTTGTCTCCCAGCAACGTGCATTTTGAGGACACCTTTCAGGCCAAGCATTCAGCTTGAGGCCCGGCCCGTGGCGCTGTACCTACCATCTCCTTGAAGGCGCTCTCCAGAGCCCCGATCACCAGGCACTCGTGGGGAATCTTCTTCTCGGTGAAGAAGCGCGTGGCAGGGGTGCCGGGGGACCCCGGGGCGCCCGCCCCTCCGCGCAGGGAGGCTGCTCGGGTCAGAGTCCTGCTGCTGGGGGGCGCGCCCTCGGGCTCCTCCCCCAGGCAGGTCGGGGGCAGCACGGCCGAGTTCCTCAGGATCTCCACGATGTCCTGCAGTTGCTCGGTGAGGTGCTGCTGCAGCAGGCGCGACGCCACCACGGCTGCCCCGGACCCCGCGTGGCCGTCGAACAGGGACCAGTAGTGGCAAGACACACCCTCGGATTCCTGGTGAGAGAGGGTGACAGGCAAGAGTAAGACCCACAGTAGCCCTGTCCCGGGCCCCTCCTCCCGGCATCCACTTTAGTCTGTCTTAGGTCTGAAAACAGTGGGGTTCAAACCTGGAGGGGCGGGTTCCCCTGATTAGTGACTACTGCCCAACACCACTCACGGGGCGAAGGACCCCTGCCTCTCCACCTTGTGGAAGAGCCTAGAAGCTTGCACACCGGCTTACTACTGGGAGCTGGAGATCGACTGTAACTGGATGTGTAGGGTGTGCAGTAGAACTCCATACAGCAGAGCCTCTACAAACCCAGCTTCACCATCAAACTCTTCATCTCCCTTCTACTTCAATCCCAGGTTTGGCTTGGGGTCTTTGGAGAAAGCTGAGCCCTTTTCAAACACAAGGAAAAAGTTGATTACATTTTCCCCTAGTAGGGCCCTTACATTCAAGACAGTTGTCCCATTTTCCCTGCTTGAACCCCCAAATATTTAGAACACGTTTTCCCTTAGACACAGGGTCTCACAAGATGAAGCTGGTTCAAATCTGCTTTTCTTTTTTTAAAATTTTCTTTTTTTGTATGTTTTTTATTGTAAAAATGTTGCACAGAGGGGTTACAGTTACATGAGCAAGGTAATGAGTACATTTCCTATTGAGCATTGTTGCCTCCTCCTGTTTCCCCCTACTACCCCAAACCCTGCTTTTCTTACTCCTCTCTCCTTTGCTTCTCCAGTTGATGTCATTGGCACCTTTTAGGTCCCTCTTACTTGAATTTACCTGAGTTCTCTTCCTCTACCATAGATTTAGTAGCTACCAGTGGACCTCTAGACTAGTTCAAGTTGTAATTTGAACTACAATTTAAACTACCTTATACATATGTATAAGATCTATGTGACAGGGGCTGGGAAGGTAGCTCAATGGTAGAGCGCTTGCCTTGCACTCATGAGGTCCTGGGTTCAATTCCTCAGCACCACATAAGCAGAAAAAAAAAAAAAAAGCCAGAAGTGGTGCTACGGCTCAAGTGGTAGGGTGCTAGCCTTGAGCTGAAGAACTGAGGGACAGTGCCCAGGTCCAGAGTTCAGGCCTTATGACCGGACCCCCCCCAAAAAAATCTATGTGACAGCAACTGTACTAGCAATGGGGCTCAAGGATTGACTGAAAGAGATATTAGAGACCTGTCCTGCATTTAATAATCCAGTGAGGAAGACAGACACTTGATCAAAAATCACTCACACAAACAAATCGCACATCTGGTCACTTCTATATGGAAGGATTCTTGGTGTCATGAGGTCATCCCACAGAGGGTCACATTATACAAGATAAGGAGGAGAATAAGAATACTAGACAGTAGTATCAAGAAGTGCAAAGGCCCTGTGATAGGAAGAATGCATGAAAAATAGGAGGAGACCAAACCATGCCCGTGTGGCCCGTGTGGTGAGAAAACAAGAAAAGGAGGGGAGGAAAGTGTCTGTGCCACTCAGTCCTTACAGGACATATGAAAGACCTTGAAAGTCTTTATCCTGAGAATGACAGAAAAATCAGATGTGACGACAATATCACGCTGTTTCTAAAGAATCACTCAAGCAATGCAGCAAGGATTAGGAGAGTGAAAGTGAGGATGGCCTTTGAAGGTAAACTGTTTCCTAAACAAAACAAAACAAAACAAAACAAAACAAAACAAAAAAACCCTGGGCTGGGGTGTAGCTAAGTGGCAAAGCACTTGCCTAGCAAGTGCAATGTCCTGGATTCAATCCCCAGTACCAAAAAAGAAAAGAAAAAAAAATTCAGAAGCACACACAGTAGGCCATATGACAGAGAGGAAAAAATTCAGAAGCACACACAGTAGGCCATGTGACGGAGAGGAATGTGAGGTGGAAAGAACAGTGGCATCAAGACCAGCAGATCTGGATTCTGATTCCACCTTCCACCCTACTAGCTGATTGGATAGCAGTCAGATTAGAGTCTATCTGGGTCAGGCACAAGTGGAATACTGCTGTTGCTAAACACCCTCTTTGCTGTGGTTTTCAGATATGTAAAATGTAAGTGGAGAAGAGGTGTGGGAGGCTAAATGCAACTGATGTCCAGTGATGGGCTCAGCAATGTGTATGGATCATGCGTGTGTTGTCCTATTACCACATCATTACAACACAATCTTGGGTAAGTCATCTGGGCTTCAGTCCTCCACCAAAATGAGGGGCAGCCCTAGGAATCCCCCCAATGCCTCTACTAACTGAAAGTTCTGTTTGAAGAAACAGATTAGTGGGAGCTGGGGGAGTAGGGGAAGAATTTTTATCTTAAGACAGGCCAAGCCTGATTGGGAAGGAATGAAAGATGACACAGAAGGCATCAACCTAGAAACCTAGGACAGGAGAGTACCAGATGACTTAGATGGGAAAATCTGGTGGAAAGCTTCTTATCCAACATCTGTTTCCTTTCTCCTTACTACCAACTCTGAGGCAGCAATGGACCCATTAAACCTTACTTTCCAGATTCTCTTGCACCTATGTGTTGTAATGTGATACATTGGCATGAAGTGGAAGTCTCCTGGATGGAACTTTCAGGAAAGATATTGCTTTCCTGATAGATTAAAAAAAAGGCCCAACTCGACTGATCCGTTCTTTTGCCTTCTCTCCTTTCTGCTTCCTGTCTGTATAATAGAAGCAGCACTTGTAGGTGTAGTAACCCTTTATAAACAAATGAAAGGATGAAAGCTGCAGGTTCAGGATAGTGGAACAGGAAGTCAAAAACACTTTGGCCCTTGTGGTCTTGGCAGGGAGGACACACAAATCCTGCACAGCATTGCTTTTGTGCTTCTTGTCATATGGACTTCATTAACATTTGGATATGCTAGAGTTGTTAGTCTCTGCAATAAGAGCTGGAGACATGGAAAAGAAAGGACGTGCCTGTTTATCTAGTATCCCAGAACTTGTGGCATGAATAGAAGGGAGAGATGCTTACACAGGCAAGCACAGGCACACAAAACAAAGCTGAGTCCCCAGGCCAGGATTCTTAGTGTAGGGCAACTGTAAATAAGATGTAGAGAGTCCATGAATCTATTTTCACAAACCTTGAAAGTTAGCATTTTCTCTTATTAGGAATATAAGGCAATATTACTGAAAGCTACATTTTTTTTCTCTAATTCAGAATATAAGGCAGTGTTAATACCAGCACCTATACTTGTCAAAAGAATCAATACATTGCCATTTCAAATATATTGAATTACTGTCGGTGCCACTACTATTTCAAGTTTACAGATATTACCAAGCCTACAACTAGGTCTTGTTATCTGCTGCACTAATAAAAAGTAAAATACATTACAAATTTGTTTAATTCTTTGATAACCACTTCAATGTAACTAATTTTAACACTCCTATGTATTTTATTTTATTTGCAGCTCAAAACATCATCCTGCACAAAAAGGTGAAGATACTACCCTCCAGATTTACTAGAAGGGACATATGGAAGATTGGTCTGAGTTCTTGAAGCTGCAGCCTCATAGCCCCATGGATACTGCTGCTGACCAGAGTGTGGTTTCTGCTTAATAAGGAAGAAGGAATACTCATTAACTGACTAGCTTAGCCAGTTTTTTCCTGACCTATGAATCAAACTTCATAGAAATCACTTATGGTTTACAAAAAAGTACACTTAAATAAAATAAACATAGATAAACTAAAATAACAGAAAGGAAGCGGAGCTTTAAAAATCTGTAAGTATGAAAGGAATCATGAGGAGTCCTTTCATACTCTTTACCTAAAAAAATGAGGAACTTTGTCCTTTCTACTGTGTCTCATAGAGATTGACACTGGCGCCCTCATGTGGTAGAAATAAGTTCTTTGAGTGTTCACACATTAGGACATTAAATGGGACATCTGGAAGCTGCAGTGGCTTGGGTACTTTCCCACATCCAATAGTTCTGGTAAACTGTGACCCATTACAGGGCCCTTGGTTTCCCCAGCTAAGTGGTATAATAGATTAAATTATTAATTTTAAGACAAATTAATCCTCACAGAGGAGCCACAGGCCTTATTTATTTACAAAAAAATAAAGGCCCTACAAAAATGGTGCTGATAGGAAACATGAGCAAATTAAGGACCTATCAGTGCAGTAGATGAATGGATCAAGAAAATGTGGTATATATACACAATGGAATTCTATGCCTCCATCAGAAAAAATGACATTGCCCCATTTGTTAGGAAATGGAAAGACTTGGAAAAAATTATATTAAGTGAAGTAAGCCAAGCCCAAAGAAACATAGGTCCCATGATTTCCCTTATTTGCAATATCTAGTATATGTATGAGTCAAGCAGAAAAGGTCAGATAAGGTGATGTTAGGAAAATGAACCCTAAGATATGTATTTTAAATGTTTTTTTTCTTTCATGCATTTGTTTCTAACGCAATTATAAGATTATTTCTTTGTTGCTTTGTATGTCCCTCCCCCACAGTATAACCCCTGCTTTCACTGTATTTGATGTCGGTATAATTTGTGGAGGGGAAGGGGAAAAACAAGTCGTTTAAATAAGGATACAGGTGGACCTGTTGCAAAAATGAGAAGTACAAGTTGTCATGTCGAACTTTACAACTTGGGGGGGGGGCGGAGGGAGGATGGGAAGGGATGGGAAGGGTAAACAAAGGAGGAGGCTACAATGCTTGATAAGAAATGTACTCACTATCTTGCCCATGTAATTGTAACACCTCTGTACAGTATTTTCACAATAAAAAAAAAGAACATTATGGCCATATCTTAAATAATTATATCTACGCCCAAAGAACCAAAACATTCAGGGGAGCAGTTGAAATATGGAATGGAACTTGCTATTGTTCCTGATGGAACATGAGCTGATGATAGCAGGTGCCTTGAGACATTAGCTCGAGACAACAGAAAGTGTGTGCTGTTAGCAAGACAGAACCAATTACTATGAAAAAAACCACTCAGAAAAACGCCTATCATACACTTAATATCATACAACTCTTCATCATTATTATTTTAGAATCCTGTTTTTTAGACTA